GTCACCCACCAGTGGTGGGACCTTGGTGGCTCCAACCCTAATGGCTGTCACCCAACTCTAAATGGACCTTGGTGGCTTCCAACCAATGGGTGTCACCCAACGGGTGTCACCCACCATGGGTGTGACCTTGCCTTGGTGGCTTCAACCCCCAAGGTGTCACCCAATGGGTGTCACCCAACTTTAGATGGACCTTGGTGGCTTCAACCCCCAAGGTGTCACCCAATGGGTGTCACCCAACTTTAGATGGACCTTGGTGGCTTCAACCCCCAAGGGGTCACCCAATGGGTGCCACCCAACTCCAGTGTGACCTTGCCTTGGTGGCTTCAACCCCAAAGGTGTCACCCCATGGGTGTCACCAAATACTGGTGGGACCTCGGTTGCTCCAACCAATGGGTGTCCCCCAACTCCTGTAGGACCTTGGTGCCTCCAACCCAAGAGGTGTCACCCCATGGGTGTCACCCAATACTGGTGTGACCCTGCCTTGATAACTTAACCCAACGGGTGTCACCAACGGGTGTCACCCAACTCCTGTGGGACCTTGCCTTGGTGGCTCCAAGCCCAGGAGGTGTCACCAAGGGGTGTCACCCAACTCTAGATGGACCTCGGTGGCTCCAACCCAAGAGGTGTCACCCACCAACGGTGTGACCTTGCCTTGGTGGCTCCAACCCCACAAAAGTAACCAATGGGTGTCACCCAACTCTAGATGGACCTCGGTGGCTCCCAACCAAGAGGTGTCCCCCACCAACGGTGTGACCTTGCCTTGGTGGCTCCAAGCCCAGGAGGTGTCACCAAGGGGTGTCACCCAACTCTAGATGGACCTCGGTGGCTCCCAACCAAGAGGTGTCCCCCACCAACGGTGTGACCTTGCCTTGGTGGCTCCAAGCCCAGGAGGTGTCACCAAGGGGTGTCACCCAACTCTAGATGGACCTCGGTGGCTCCCAACCAAGAGGTGTCCCCCACCAACGGTGTGACCTTGCCTTGGTGGCTCCAAGCCCAGGAGGTGTCACCAAGGGGTGTCACCCAACTCTAGATGGACCTCGGTGGCTCCCAACCAAGAGGTGTCCCCCACCAACGGTGTGACCTTGCCTTGGTGGCTCCAAGCCCAGGAGGTGTCACCAAGGGGTGTCACCCAACTCTAGATGGACCTCGGTGGCTCCCAACCAAGAGGTGTCCCCCACCAACGGTGTGACCTTGCCTTGGTGGCTCCAAGCCCAGGAGGTGTCACCAAGGGGTGTCACCCAACTCTAGATGGACCTCGGTGGCTCCCAACCAAGAGGTGTCCCCCACCAACGGTGTGACCTTGCCTTGGTGGCTCCAAGCCCAGGAGGTGTCACCAAGGGGTGTCACCCAACTCTAGATGGACCTCGGTGGCTCCCAACCAAGAGGTGTCCCCCACCAACGGTGTGACCTTGCCTTGGTGGCTCCAAGCCCAGGAGGTGTCACCAAGGGGTGTCACCCAACTCTAGATGGACCTCGGTGGCTCCCAACCAAGAGGTGTCCCCCACCAACGGTGTGACCTTGCCTTGGTGGCTCCAAGCCCAGGAGGTGTCACCAAGGGGTGTCACCCAACTCTAGATGGACCTCGGTGGCTCCCAACCAAGAGGTGTCCCCCACCAACGGTGTGACCTTGCCTTGGTGGCTCCAAGCCCAGGAGGTGTCACCAAGGGGTGTCACCCAACTCTAGATGGACCTCGGTGGCTCCCAACCAAGAGGTGTCCCCCACCAACGGTGTGACCTTGCCTTGGTGGCTCCAAGCCCAGGAGGTGTCACCAAGGGGTGTCACCCAACTCTAGATGGACCTCGGTGGCTCCCAACCAAGAGGTGTCCCCCACCAACGGTGTGACCTTGCCTTGGTGGCTCCAAGCCCAGGAGGTGTCACCAAGGGGTGTCACCCAACTCTAGATGGACCTCGGTGGCTCCCAACCAAGAGGTGTCCCCCACCAACGGTGTGACCTTGCCTTGGTGGCTCCAAGCCCAGGAGGTGTCACCAAGGGGTGTCACCCAACTCTAGATGGACCTCGGTGGCTCCCAACCAAGAGGTGTCCCCCACCAACGGTGTGACCTTGCCTTGGTGGCTCCAAGCCCAGGAGGTGTCACCAAGGGGTGTCACCCAACTCTAGATGGACCTCGGTGGCTCCCAACCAAGAGGTGTCCCCCACCAACGGTGTGACCTTGCCTTGGTGGCTCCAAGCCCAGGAGGTGTCACCAAGGGGTGTCACCCAACTCTAGATGGACCTCGGTGGCTCCCAACCAAGAGGTGTCCCCCACCAACGGTGTGACCTTGCCTTGGTGGCTCCAAGCCCAGGAGGTGTCACCAAGGGGTGTCACCCAACTCTAGATGGACCTCGGTGGCTCCCAACCAAGAGGTGTCCCCCACCAACGGTGTGACCTTGCCTTGGTGGCTCCAAGCCCAGGAGGTGTCACCAAGGGGTGTCACCCAACTCTAGATGGACCTCGGTGGCTCCCAACCAAGAGGTGTCCCCCACCAACGGTGTGACCTTGCCTTGGTGGCTCCAAGCCCAGGAGGTGTCACCAAGGGGTGTCACCCAACTCTAGATGGACCTCGGTGGCTCCCAACCAAGAGGTGTCCCCCACCAACGGTGTGACCTTGCCTTGGTGGCTCCAACCCCAAAGCTGTCACCAATGGGTGTCACCCAACTCCTGTGGGACCTTGCCTTGGTGGCTCCAAGCCCAGGAGGTGTCACCAAGGGGTGTCACCCAACTTTAGATGGACCTTGGTGGCTTCAACCCAAGAGGTGTCACCCAATGGGTGTCACCAAACACCGGTGTGACCTTGCCTTGGTGGCTCCAACCCAAGAGGTGTCACCCAATGGGTGTCACCAAACACAGGTGTGACCTTGGTTGGCTTCAACCCTATGGGTGTCACCCACCACTGGTGTGACCATGGCCGCTTCGGGCCCAAGAGGTGTCACCCATGGGTGTCACCAAACTCCTGTAGGACCTTGGTGGCTCCAACCCCAAAAGTGTCACCCAATGGGTGTCACCCAACTTTAGACAGACCTTGGTGGCTCCAACCCAGGAGGTGTCACCCAACGGGTGTCACCAAACACCGGTGTGACCTTGCCTTGGTGGCTCCAACCCAAGAGGTGTCACCCAATGGGTGTCACCCACCAGTGGTGGGACCTTGGTAGCTCCAACCCAAGAGGTGTCACCCCATGGGTGTCACCCAACTGCAGTGTGACCGTGGTGGCTCCCAGCCTGAAGGTGTCACCCCATGGGTGTCACCCACCACTGGTGTGACCCTGGTGGCTCCAACCCAAGAGGTGTCACCCCACGGGTGCCCCCACCACCGCGGTTCCTTCACCCCAACGTCGCTCTCCTGCCTGACCCTTCCGGGAACATCCCCAGGGAACATCCCGAGGTTTTTTTTTGGGAATATCCCGGATCTCCGGAGCTTCCCAGAAGTTTGAGGAGCACCAACTGACCTGGGCGCCGTCGGGCTCGGCCTTGAGCAGCTCCCCGGAGCCCAGCTGGTTACAGAAGAGCCCTGGAGGTCTCAGCGCCGCGTCCGGGACCTGCCGGGAGCAACGGCCGCGCTCAGCCGCCATTCCGGAGCCTCCGGAGCGGCTCCGGCCGGGATTTGGGGATGGGGAACTCCGGGAATCTCCTGTTTGTGTGGAGCTGCTCCCA